AGGAGTGCTGTTGCTGGGACACTGATATGAATGGGAAAGGAAGCATTTTCTGAGTTCTTACAGAGTGAAAAAGAGCTAAATGTTACCCTTCAGGCAGTGCCAGGCGACATCCACAGGATGCATGGCACTGAGCTGGGGGGCACAGCTATGCCCACAGTGTCAACCAGGCAGAGAGCCCATCTCCACATCACTTGTCAGGGAAAAGCTTTTGGGCAATTTAGGATATTTATCTAGATCCCTCAATTCACTTGGCAGCGGGAGCAGGCCTGACTTGAGATCCAGGATTTGTCACTTCAATCCAGATCTTTTCTTTTATGATCTGTATTCAGACTTAGCTCAGGCCAGAAGCTGAAATAAATGAGTTAGTGGAGCCAAACAAAGGGGCATAACAAGATCAAAGCTGGACATCTCTCCAAGGTGTGTTTTGAAGTATTTGAGTCCCACCTACTCACAAAACCAGAACAGTTAATAAAAATCAAAATAGGAAAAGTAAACACACCACCTGTGAGGGGACTATACTTAGGTTATAGCAGATGAAACAGAGTACATATGAAGAAATTTTCTCTGAAAGGAAGAAGTATTAAAACTGGAGGAGTCGGAGACGCTAAAGTCCCCTTTCCTATTTGTTTGCTTTTTAAATCAGAAAAGAGATGAAGCAAAAGGTGTGGTACAGCTCTTGCCTACCATGAGTGAGGCCCTGAGTTTGATTCCCCAGCATGTGAGAAGGGGAGGAAGAAAGGGAAAGATTGTCTCTTTATCAAAAGATGGGGTCTCCGTGTTTAAGACTCATTAGCCCGAAGATGGATTTTTTTCCCCATTTATATTTTTCATTAGTAATCACACCCAAATGTTGAACACTAAGTTTTGCTTTAGTGACACAAAAACTTTTATTCCGTGAGCCCAGTGACATTTTCCTGTCTTCAGTCAGCAGCACCATGTTCATGAAATGGCACAGGATCTAAGAACTTAGCGCAGTTTCTATCCTAAAAATCCTCCAAAGTTATGTCATCATGTCAATCAGTGTGTGGTGTTATTTCAGGGAAATTTCTGCTGAGTTAATTGTTTGTAGTATCTTTGGTATGTGAACATGACGACCAGCACATTAGCATTTTCAGCTTGCAATTTTAAGAATATGAAGCCTTATTCCAGGAAGGTCTTTCTGATGGGTCCTTTTATTTCTTCTGCATTTTGTTTTCCAAGAAGACTGCCTTGCTTCCTAAGCCTACCGTTCTTTTCCTACTTGGAACTTGGGGCCATCTGTAAGTCTCAGATGAATAAATTCTCTAATTGTTGTCTTTGGGGGCGGGTACCAAGGATCAAATTTAGGGCCTTGTGCTTGTGAACTAAATCTCCAGCCCCTCTAATTGTTGTCTTATTTGGCATAAGCTCTAAAACCTGCTAGGTCTTTAGGTAAAAAGATGAGGAGGCAATGTTGCCTCACATGATTTCAAATATTTTAAGTGCTCTTATTCAGTATAAAGAACTTTACTAGACACATTCAACAAAAAATGGCAAACTAGTTACCATCAGAATTGACAGCTTTTACCTGAATTTGTTAGGGAGGGAAAGGATTAATCGATTTTGTTACTTTTTAAAAACTTTTAATCTCAGCTTTAATTTTCTGTCATATATTTTTTGTAACTCAACACGGAAAGGATGTTTTAATGGTTATAATAATTGACAATAATAATAAGTGCTTAGCTTCATTTTGCTTGAAAAAGTGGAACAAGTTATTAAAATACATAATAATTTTGAAACTTTATTAAATAAATGTATAATTTTGTCTTTGGAAAACTGAAATAAAAAGAATAGTCACTATGCTGAGGCCAGGGTAAAGGGTCATCCCCTAGGTCACACACACACACACACACACACACACACACCAGTTAGTGGAACCATCTAGATAAACATGGTGCTGGGTAATTCTCTTGATCTCACAGCTGCCAGCAGAATTTCTCCAGGCAAATCTGTGACATCCTTTACATGTTCCCGGGCTACACCCTCTCCACCCAGACCAATGACACAGAAGTACCTGATGCTCCTCCACGGGCCACGGGGCTATGTCCCAATACATGTATTAAACATTGAAAACATCATAAATTGAAAATGTATTTAGCCAAGACGTACACATGTAATCCCAGCATTATAAGAAGATGGAGCAAGAGGATCACAAGTTCAAGCCCAGCATGGGGTAACTTGGTGACATAGTGAGGACCCCATCTCAAAAGTAAAAACAAAAAGAGCTGGGGATGTAGCTTAGTGCAAAGGTCTTGAGTTCAGTCCCCTGTACTAAAAGAAGAAAAGAGAGAAAGAGAAAAAGGAAAGGAAGAGGGAGAGAAGGAGGAAGACAAGGGGAGAGAAGGGAAGGAAGGAGAGAAAGGAAAGGAAAAAATAAAAAGGAAGGAAAGGGGTGGGAGAAAGAATAGAAAAGAGAAAAGAAAAAAGGGAAAGAAAGAAAAGGAAGAAGTATTTAATGTAATGCACCTAACCTACCAACATCTCAGCACACTATGATTACATGCCTGACCGTGAGCTGCCACAGCCCAGCACGACCAAAGAGGAGTGGATTACATATCACTAGCTCAGAGAAAGATCCAAATTCAAAATCTGCCTTCTCTGTAATGAATGCATATGACTTTTGCACTATCATAAAGTCAAAAAATCTGAAGGCAAATCATGGTAAATTAGGACTGTATTTTAGCCCTGACCCCTGAGATTCCATGAGCCTCTCAACCCTTACAAGTAAAGCATGAAAAAGTATCTAAATTCTTGGCGCTCTCAGCTGTTTTAAATACAAATAATATGCCAATAAAACTGTCATTTTAAGTCAGTTTCCTAATTTAAGGAAGAAAATAGGTGGATAAGTCTCTCCTGCAAATCTAATTCAAGGGAGACTCGGTCACCTTGGACTGGAGCACTTCATTACTATAGAGCAGCAGTTGTTAAAGGAAAGCAGCCTGGTAATTGTCCAATGGACATTTTTCCCAGAAATTAAAGTCCTACTTTCTAAAAGACAGTTACTTTGTGGTGCAAATCAAAACGAATTATGTACACACACACACACACACACACACACAATCACTGCCTTACCTGGGTACACACAGAAGCAGCTTGACATGTTCCTCATGTGAATTTAAGCAGGGAGAATATACTAATCAAAGCCATCATCCTTTCTGTAAAACTAATCAAAATGTTCTTCATCTTACTTTCCTGGCCTTCAGTTAATGTCATCCCAGAGTGTAGCAGGGAGATTCATCTCTTTCCTAGGTGTCTGTACTCACCATTCTTTTAACAAGAAAATCTTTGGGCCGTGTGTCATTTGCTTTTCTTCATATTATTTTTCCTTATATTTTGGTGGCCTTTCAAAAACTATTAATCTGGATTCCCAGATATTCATATTTGACCAGAACCCAATATTTTATTTTAATTTGCCATAATTACTATCATCGTCATCAGCATCATCATCATTATTCCACTGATAGTAGCAATCTCCATTCAGCCAACAGGAAAATGGATTTTTATTCATAAGAGAAGAACAGAAATATCACAGTCCCTGAGTACTAACTATCCCTTCCCCTCCTATCTCAAGTTCCTGGATTCCTCCCTCAATACTTGCCTCAGATGATAGGCAGGGGAAGAAATTGCTCCCACTCAGGCACCCCACGAACCTGATACTGGAGAATCCTGGCATGTGTATAGACCATGGCATTGGTAAGAAGAGACGAGAGCCTCTGGGGAAGAATACATTCAAACCCTAGTTTCTTCTAACCATGCTGTTCAGAAAGGTGCTTTTGCTGCCAGAGTTCCTACAAGATCACTTTTTTTCTTGTAGTTTTCACAGCAGAAGCAAGACTGTAAGGTTTGCCCTCCACCCAGCCCCCAGCCCCAGGATTTACAGGAGTCTGTCCTGGGGCAGCGCATTTGTCAGAGATTTAAAGAATGGGTGAAGAGGGTCTTTTACCTTGTCCAGCCTGCTTTGCACCTGAAACCATAAACCTTAATGAGCCCTGCCTTGCTCTAATGTTCAGCCTTATGGAAGCCCTGGTCACAGTTTAAAGCAATGCAGGTTTTTGCTGACTCAACATAAAAAAGTGACCAGCAATTTTTTGGGTTTAGCGCTTGACCTCAAGAGAGCACATTCAAGTGTATTGCAATTCATTTAATAAAGGAGTTGGAAGATGTTGAAAATAATGTGAGTACTCAGATTTTCTCTTTGACTTAAATGCTCTTTGGGTTATGTGCTATTTGAATTTTTGTGGTTAATGATTTACCCTTGGAAGGCATTGATTGGCTTTTCCTATTGTTTCTCGGTTATGTAAGGAGTTTATGGTGAATTTCAATATGGATATATAAAAGTGTCTGTGAAAGATCTCTAGTTCTTTACTAAAGACTCAAAGGAAGGTTATTTACACACAAGGCCAATCCCAGTGATGACTGCAGCACTAGACTCTACCAGTGGAAGAAGGAAGAAATAGACTTGAATTCTAACAGCCCCAAAATGGGGAGCCTTCCAGCAGGCATGAAAACTGTCCCTTCCTGACATCAGGCTACATTTTCCTCTGGAGCAAAAATGAAGCAAACTGTCAGTTTGACACTTTGCAAACAATTTCCAGCTTTCTGGATTTCTCCCATGTATGTGTAGATGCCTGGATTAGGGGATGGATGCATTTAAAAAGCCATTCCCAGAAGCAGCAGTGACACAGAAACAGCCACTTGGATTCAACAACACCCTGCCATCTAAAGTGGCCACACACTTTAGAACCAGTGCCCAGCTCCCACGGAGAACCAACTTCCATCCTTAGTTTTATTTCTGTGTCTGGTTCATTTTGCTCAACCATCGGGCTGCCTTTGATCTTGATGACCACTCCCAGAGTCCAGGTCCTGGCTGAAGGACATGCAATTTGCGCCTCCCCTTCCCTTCCCTCCGGGTGGCAGCCTGTGGGGGCCTTCCTGTTTGCTCACTTGGCTTTCCTTCCCTTCTTCCTTTCCCTGCCTGGCAGCACCACGGTCCAGCAGACCAACTGCAGGGGCTCCGTGCCATCTAGCAAGGGCAGTAGCAGCGGCAGCAGCAGCAGCAGTAGCAGCTCTTCCAGCGACTCAGAGAGCAGCTCAGGATCCGACTCAGAGACTGAGAGCAGCTCCAGCGAGAGCGAGGGCAGCAAGCCGCCCCACTACTCCAGCCCTGAGGTAAGCACTGTGCCTGCCCTGTGGGCTTGTGGCCAGGAAGTCCCCTCTTCTGGCTCTCATCCCTGTACCTACTTACCCTCCTGCACCCCCGAACTCAGGCAAGACAAAGGAGCCTTTGAGACTTGGGGCTCCTCACTTGCTCCACTATGACCCCTCCTCGCATTCCCCTAATGACTCTGCTTCCTTTAAAGTCCAAAGCATCATTTTTCACTGTCCAAAAATCTCTGTGTGACTTCTAGAAATTTCCAAGTGTGCTGTAAATATCACTAACAGGAAACAACCTATGGAAAGGTCTCCCTGGGGGTCAGTGAGGCAGTAACCAGAAAGGGAAGTTCACCACCTGGGAAGTGTGACCACACATAAATCACGAGTGGAGTTTTATGGATTAGACATGCTTAGAATCCTACCTTTTCACAGCTTGTCGTGGATCAGGACAGGGGCCATAAATATTAACAAAACCTGCTTAACTGTGTTTGCTTTGTGAAAACAGAAAGGGGGAAATTAGCATCCACCTGCAAGTAATAATGAAACCTTTTACAGCGATGAGCAGTATCTATGGGGAAGATTTAGGTGACTCATATAAAATTATTATAAGGCACCAATAAAAAAACCTTTGCTGTTTCTACCTGAAAGCTAAAAGGGGTGAAATAAATAGTAATACAGAACAGAAGGATTCCCAGGTGAGGGTTGGGAACAAACTTCTCAAATCTTTGGATCCATAGGGGTAGCTATGGTTTCTTAAAGTAGGAATATAATGAAGCTTCTTCCTGAGTGTTTAAACAATTGACATCAACATGAATTGTGGGGTTTAATCTTTTACTTACAATCCTCTATACTATTTTTGGGTTCAGGTTCCTAAATAGGCTCTGATGTAAAAATCAAACCCTCATGCAAGCAAGTCATGACAGGGAGTGACTTACAGGGTGACCCTAGACACTTTCACACCTGAAGTGGTGATCACATGGTGAACTCTCATCTCAGATTCACAGAATACCTCTTCCTTTCCCTGGAGATATTTTATTTCTCATTCTCCCTTCCACTGCAACACCTTTCCACTTTACAGCTCTCCGTTCATCTTGGAATAAGCCATGTTTTTGTCATTATCTCTCCTTTGCATGAAGCTCTTGTCTCTCTGTCCATTTATCTAAATCTGCCCACCTCTCTACATAAGGTGAAGGCCCTAAGCAACCTGAGGCTATAGCCATATAGCTTATGGTAACCCTGGCTTCTCCCAGAAACTAAACTTATTCCTGTCTCAGTTTCATTCATCATTCACTTATTCCATGTTTATTCAACGAATACTTATTGGGCATCTGCCACAGACACAGCACGTGGCTCTGGAACAAGCCATTATGCGACAGAAAATGCCCCCTGTCTTCTTGGAGCTAACATCTAATGAAACAGAACAATACAGGAGTTCAACAGAATAGAGGAAAAGAGGTACACTTTTATAAAGTCTGTCTTATGCTACAGTTTGTTAAGGAATTCCAGAAGAGTTATCTTTAATAAGTAGCTATGGCCCAGAGACAGTTAATAAAAAGTGTTAGTGTCTGTGAAGCCCAACTTGACTAGGCTACTCTTTGTGCCTTACAAGTTAAATTCATGAGTGTTGACTCTTCTTTTCACACTGAAAGGAGAATCCTAAAGCCCCTGAATGGGCTGCAACCTCACACTGCCAGACAGCAATACAGTTATAAAGCACTTAAAGCAAGTTCTTTCTATAAATTCACTGTGATCATTAGAAAGCTTAGGGAGCTGTGTACCCCAGCGGGGGAAGGAAGAAGGCACTTGTCATTTCTTGCAGCAGCTGTCAGAAGCCCTCACTAAGGACAAGGAACACAGGTCTGCTAAAGGAACCTAGAAGTTTGAGCTCCCTGAGGCCTGGCAAAGATTCCACTTGCTTGCTTCTCTCTGCAGAGTGGCAGGTGATGATAGCCACACTGTGCCTTGTTCCTTTCTGCTGGGAAGGGATGTGCTGTTGGAATAAAAGCAAGTTTCTTTTTAACATCTCCCCCAAGGTTAGCACAGATACACATGAGGGCACCTCCACATCTCTCCCCAAGCCCTGACACATGCTTAACTGTTCTCAGCCTCATTCTTACTTTCACATGGGCTTTGTCTCATGAGCTTTCTTGGCCTTGTGCACTCTCTCAGCTGGCACATTGACACCAGTGCATGGGACTCACTTGCCCAGGGTTGCTTGAGCTACTAAAAATATATAAAGCCTGGTGACATCATTTTGAGTCCTGGGATAAAGTTGACCCCATTTCTTTGCATAAGGCATCTCCCAGCTCTAAATATTACTCATGCAAATGCTTTCCATTGTGGTACTGACCAAATGGATCTGACTGAGGCAAACTTTCTCCCTGGAATATATGAAGTAAAAGCACATTTTGTAAAATGCTTCTGCAGTACTTTCTTTAAAATGAGCAGAAATATGATGCAAGCTGTTCATTGATGCAAAAAAGCCTCTGTTGATTAGGCACCTCTAGGGTACATGGCAGTGGGTGCTATGAAAGATATACAGATGAAGCAGGGACATGACAGGAAGCTTGTACCTGAATCAGAGGGAAAATTAATCAGGGAACAGAGTTGTGGCTGAATATGTAAAGCAGCAAGCCAGGAAACCAAAACACCAGGCAGAAGCCCCATGAAAGTTCCACAAGAGAGTTGTCCCTACTAGCACATGCTGGTAGGCTAGAGCCTGGGGCCCTGAGTTCCCCCTGTGTATTACTGCTTAACTCTCCATCATTTCAGCTTCCTTGGCTACAACTGTCTTCTCCCCAGAATGGCAGCTATTGCTTCCCTGCCTAATCTGTGTGATGGTTGTGGGAAACAGTGACAGCTCACTCATTATGAGCAGCACCATAGTAATTGGCCTCCTAACCAAGTGCAGATACTCTGAAGGATACACAAGAGACAGAGAGCCTTGGCCTGAAGGAAGAGTTGGGCTTTGTTGAAGACACAGAACTATGCACATGAAATAAATACAAAAATCAGAAGATTCTACTATTGAGTATATACAGGTATTGTTTGGAGGGCTCAAAAATCAAGTCCCATGATACCATTTTAGTTTGAAGATGATCATTCCTCAAAGGAATGGGTCCTCCTTTCCCAAGACTACACTAGAAAATAGTGGGATGTAAGGGGTAAGGGGAATATGTTAGCCTCACACAAAGCTTTTAGGCATGGACAAAGCAAACAAATACTTTGCCAGAATGAAACACTTGTAGCCTCTAGTTTACTTCCTAATAGTTTACTTCATTCCATCTGAACCCTTCTGAGCCTGGCCTTTATTGTCCATATTCCTATCAGCATTCTGGGATTCTGAGCTCCAACCAGAGTCACCCATCAGGCTCTGCTTACATTATTCTAGGGCTTCCCCAGCCCACATCACCAAACCTCCCAAATCTTCCCATAAACCAGTTCCAAACCACAAGGTCAGGCATACTTACATCAACAACCTCATATCTCTGGTGCCAATTTTCTGTGTTGGCTTTTTGTCACTGATACACAATACCTGGCACCCACAACTTAAAGAAGAAAAATTTACTTTCGCTCAGGATTTCAGAGGTTTCAGTCCATGCTTAGCTGGCACTAAGGCAGAAACATCATGGTGGCGCAAAGTTGCTTCACCTATGACATCCAGGAAGCAGAGAGCAGGAAAGAGCCAGAAGGAAGGGGTCAGGAACCAGACATGGTCCCCAAGGTCACACCTCTGTCACCCACCCAAATACATCAACCAGTGTGCTTTACTGATCTCCTAGGCATCTCCAGAGCCAGTGAAGTTAACAGTCAAGATTAACTATCACAGGAGGCAACAGTGCCCAAAATCTGGTCTTTACAGCTAAATAAGCACAGGTTAGTCTTGGTGGGGCCTGGAAGCACTGCAGCTTTGGTCATGTCACTTAACCTGTCTGATCCTCAACTACAGATTAGGGGAGCTAATATTTATCTGTAAAGATTCAAATAGATAACTTGTGTAAAGTGGGAGGCATATTATAGCTGTCCCAGCAATGAGAAATGATCACCAGATGATAGCCCTTGAATGTCAGCATGGGAAATTTAGGTTTCATTGGAGAGGTAATAGGAGGTTATTGTAGATCCTTGGGAAAGGGAGTGTGGTTTGGTGATGTGTTGAAAGTGGTACTCCAGCCTGATTTGTTCAGCTGTGAAGTGCAATAAAAAAAAAAAAATGACCCTAAAGCACATCAGGCAACAGGACCATACTAAATGTATTAAATTCTACTCTTCACCATTAATGCTTCCACTTGGAAGTTACAGTGAGACTCTTCCCATATGCAGCTATTTGGGGGCTCTATATTGTCTTCTTTGTTCTTTCCCATGCAAGGTGTGAGCCATAGCATGCTCTAGAGGGAGGCACAGCTGGTTTTAAACACGGTGGCAGGTGGCTGAATTCTGTGCTGTGTGCCAGGCATACAAGCTCTCTTTCTGATATGTACACCCTTCTGCATTAAAACACTTCTGCTCTGGTTTACACTGGGTCCCATTTACCTGGGGATGCTGAAGCAGAACAGACAGCTTTGATCTCCAGTGCTCACATCTGGGGAAAATGGAGGCAGGTGACACTAAATTAGAAGCCACCAAATTAGCTTTCGGTCATGTTCAGCTAATGTCAGGCCAGAGGAGGGCGCCCCCTTTGGCAAGAAGCGGTCTGTGTTGCTGTCTGGCTTCTTCTGATGTAACATCTTTCTCTGGAGAGGCCAATATAAAGCAAGAGCTTACATCTAACAACTCAAAGGTGCAAAGATGATACAGGCTAAGCCTTCCTAATCTAATACCCTAAAATCTGAAATTCTCCAAAATCTGAAACTTTTTGAGCACTGACACGAGGCCACAAGTGGAAAATACCATGCTGTGAGGCCTTGATCCACACATAATCATTACGAATAATGTATAAAATTACCTTCAGGTGAAGTAAGATATGTATGAAACATAAATGAATTTTGTGTTTAGACTTTGATCCCATCCCTGTTATCTCATTATATATGTGCAAATATTCCAAAAAATTTTTAAATCCAAAACTCTTTTCATTCCAAACATTTTGGATAAGGGGGGCTTGACTAGTATATCTTTTTGTTCCTCTGCATCTTATTTTGGATTTTGGTGGCATGAAAACAAAGCAAAAAAAAAAAATCAAATCAAAAGACCAAACTCCTTTTCAGGTATGGTGGTGCACACCTGCAATCTGAGCTTTTGGGAGGGTAATGCAGGAGGAGTGCCCTGAGTTTGAGGCCAGGTTGGGCTATGTAGTGAGTTCAAGGCCAGCCTGAATTACATAGTGAGACCCCTCCCACACCTATGTCTTAAAATAAAGCTGTTCCGTTCTCAAAGCCCCCAGTAAAGGTACATTACATCCTCTTCCTTATCTCCACTGAACTTTTCTTGCCCCCACCAAGTCACTGGGCACCCAATGCTGGTCAGTCTCATCATGGATGAGATCCATAGCCCGTGCCTGTGTGGCCAGTTCCTGCTGGCCCCTGCACCTCCTCTCATTCTGTCAGGGACTCCCCATTTTTCTGGGCTAAGCCCCTGACCCCCTGTATCTCAAGCACAGCCATCTGCACACAAATTTGCGGGGAGAGGCATATGAAAGGAAAAATACATCATCACCTCCATCCCTTAGAATGTTTCTCCCATTTCACATCAATTGACAAATTGCAGATACACTGGCAAAAGTTCTGCACTTCTCAATTCAGACATTTGCTAACTAATAATCCTAATGCTGTGAAAATTGACTTGTATTAGGGGGTCTTAGTTCTCAAGCTCCATTGAACACAAATCCTTAGAAACTCAACTCAGAACTCTGGATCTCTCCCAAGGGGGAGGGGATGCAGCCACACAACGTCTCCTATCCTGTTTCCAGGTGTTCCTGGCACCATGCCCTCCCAGAGCTTACCTTGGGCTAGAGTTTAAACGCTGTGTGATCTGCTGTGTTCTCTCTAAATCACCAATTCCGCTTCCCAGAGCCATCACCTGGGTGGCTGAATGTTTTTGGCAGAGTGCGACAGGGACAGGTTCAGGATGCACAAACCAAGCGGCCTGCCAAAGTGCACTGGAATGTACACACATCCCTGTGAGAGGGGAGGGAATTCTCACAGCTAAGCCAGGCACAGGATTGCCTCTCCTGTCAAATAACTGCATCATCCTTGCCTTCACCACATAAGTTATTCTTTGAGGTGGAAGGTTCTCAGATTTCTCTCAGGGTTAAGTCTCACCAAAAAGGGGGGCACTTTAAGGTCTGTCGTTCCCCAGTTAAATATCATGGAATCTCCAATGTATGTGCATATGTGTAATTATACATATAGACACATGCTTGAAAGCGCTCCTTTTCTGGACTTGTGATGGGACATTAAGTGCCAGAGGCAGTAAGGGCACACACAGAGCCCTCCTGGTCCCCAGACCTCTTAGTCCCCAACTGCATCCAGCTCTACCTACATTTTAGCTCCTGCGCCCAGAGGAGAACGCCCATATGAGAATGGCTGGGTCCTTTTGAGTGAGTCTAGTAAAAGCTGTTTGGTTTCTCGGGGGTTCTGTCTCTGCTTTCAGGCCGAACCAGCATCCTCCAACAAGTGGCAGCTGGATAAATGGCTCAACAAAGTCAACCCCCACAAGCCGCCCCTGCTGACCCAGAGTGACGGGCCCGGGCCTGAGGGTGCACAGTACTACCCGGTGGGGAAGGAGGACGCGCAGGACTGCGGGAAGCTGCCGGAAGCGGGCCCGGCCGTGCTGCGCGACAAGGACGTCAAGGGTGCCTGCAAGGAGGAGCAGAGGCCACGGACAGCCAACAAGGCCCCGGGCAGCAAGGCGGCC